TGTACATGGCGAGCAAGTGGCGGCGGGATGGCCCGCTTGGCTCTCCAAGGTTGCAGGGGAAGCCATCGATGGGTTGACGCCTAGAAGAGCAGACACTTTTGAAAAGCTTGATAAGGTATGAAATCTGGAGGTAATCTTTGTTTTGTTTCCATTTCAAGCTTGTGGAAGGGGAACTCAGCTTTCTTGGTTTGATTATGTTGTTTGCATTTGAGGAAGTGTGATGTAAGGAGTTGACTGTCGGGGGTGTTAAGTTGCTTCTATTTCTTTTTTCCTGTTGTTTTACGCTTCCTTAAATGGAGAATGTTGATGTTTTCACTCTTTAAGTTTAAAAGATGAATTTCATTGGTAATGCATGCGGTCAATTCTTTGTCGTCTGGTTTTTGAAATGTAAATAACCCCTAAAATTAATAATACGGCGTTTTTGACATGGTTGGATTGGAGTTTTATGCTTGCATAAAATGGTATAGATTTAAAGGATTCTAGTTTCGTTAAGCCCTCATATATATAAGCCTTAAGACTTGTATATATTTTTTAATATTCAGATTGGCCAAGGCACATACAGTAATGTTTACAAAGCCAGAGATACTTTAACCGGGAAAATTGTTGCCTTAAAAAAGGTTCGATTTGACAATTTGGAGCCAGAGAGTGTGAAATTCATGGCCCGAGAGATTCTTATATTACGTCGTCTTGATCATCCCAATGTTGTTAAACTGGAAGGCTTAGTGACTTCTAGAATGTCATGTAGCTTGTATCTTGTTTTTCAATACATGGAGCATGATCTGGCAGGACTTGCTACAAGCCCATCAATTAAGTTCACTGAGCCTCAGGTATTGACATTTTGGGATTTTGTTGGTTCAAATATAATTGTTTTGAGATTTATATATAGATATATAGGCGCACACGCACACACGCACTATTTTTTTTCTTGAGGTGAATTTTTTATTTAATTTATCATATCCATATCTATTTTAGGTTAAATGTTACATGAAGCAGTTGTTTTCTGGTCTGGAACACTGCCACAACTGTCATGTGCTTCATCGAGATATAAAGGGGTCAAACCTTCTTATTGACAATGAAGGGATCCTTAAAATTGCTGATTTTGGATTAGCTTGCTCCTTCGAACCTGATCACAAGCACCCTATGACAAGTAGGGTGGTGACTTTATGGTATCGACCTCCAGAACTTCTTCTCGGGGCCACTGATTATGGCGTAGGAGTGGACCTCTGGAGTGCTGGCTGCATTCTTGGAGAATTGTTGGCTGGAAAGCCAATTTTACCTGGTCGAACAGAGGTAATCTTTAAATGACTGAATATATCATAGAGTTTCTCTAAATACTGTCTCTTTTAGGGCATCAAAATGTATTCACTTCAGTAGTCGATGGTGCAGGACTTTGTTGCCATTGGCTTCTCAATTTTCCGCAACTTCTTGTTTGTGAGGTTGGTGCTTTTGTTCTCTTATATGATGTTATTCATGCTTTCTAGGTGGAGCAGCTACATAAGATATTTAAGCTATGTGGTTCTCCTTCTGAAGAGTATTGGAAAAAGTCAAAGTTGCCGCATGCTACAATTTTTAAGCCTCAACAATCATACAAGCGATGCATATCAGAGGTATTCAAAGATTTTCCACCATCATCCTTGCCACTAATTGAGACCCTTCTTGCAATCGATCCAGCTGAACGTCAGACTGCCACTGCTGCATTGCAAAGTGAAGTAAGATTTAAATTTTGGTTCCCAAGTTTACAGTTCAAAATCACCTTATTTTTGTTGTCGTCTCTTTCTCCTTGATTGGTCCCTTCTTGTCACATGCTTGAACGTTTTTCTAAAAGAAATTCTGGGTAATATGTTGAAGATCTGTGCTTGATTGTTTCTCTTTCGCAGTTCTTTACTACAAAACCTTATGCTTGTGAGCCATCAAGCCTTCCAAAATATCCTCCTAGCAAGGAGATGGATGCAAAGCTACGTGATGAAGAAGCTAGAAGGTGGAAAGGCTTTGATTACTATTTTGAGTCCTGATTCATTTGAAATTTTGAACAATCATCCAAGTTTAGTTCAATTATAAGGGCAAACCGTACTCCTTTCTATATAAGCTTTCAACTGTCTGAGGAACTTCTGGTAATCTGCATATAATATATAATGAAACCCATTTGTTGGTCAATATTATATCAGTTTCATGCTGACAAGACTCTGCTTGTGATTTCATTATAACCCCTTAGCTTCATTTCTAAATAACTTAAACATGTTTAAGTTGCTGAAAATGCATGCATTTTGATATTGAACTTCACCAATGTAGATTGAGAGCAGCAGGTAAAGCTAATGCTGATGGTGGCAAGAAATATCGTCCACGTGACCGGGGAGGGAGGGGAATTCCAGTTCCAGAAGCCAATGCTGAGCTTCAAGCAAATATTGATGTATGTCCCTTCACTTTATTGTTTTGTGGATGTTTTATTAGTCTTCTGATCTGTCACCTTGATGCAGAGACGACGATTGATAACGCATGCAAATGCAAAGAGCAAGAGCGAGAAGTTTCCTCCGCCGCACCAAGACGGAACTCTAGGCTATACTCTGGGTTCTTCACATCACATGGATCCAGTTTTTGACCCTCCTGATGTTTCCTTTAGCTCTACAAACTTGTCATACCCTAAAGCCAATATTCAAACTTGGTCTGGTCCCTTGGTGGAACCTGCTGCCCCGAGGAGAAAGAAGAGCATGGCAGGAGCATCCAAATCATCAAAAAAGGACTCCAGAAGATGATATGAAACAAAATTCTTGTAATATAGATGCTGCTGATTTGCTCAAGCCATTAATCACAGTCACAGAGAGCCATTTCTTTCTTGATCGGAGGTTTCATCTCTATCTCGTCTATGTTCATTTTTTTTTTTCAAGTCTAATTAGATTAGAGAGGAACATCTAATAATAAACTGCTATCAGTAAGTATTCATGTTTTATTTCTCCCTAATTTTGTCATACCTTTTTTCTAAACCCTGTCAATTCTGCACTACTCACAGATACTTGTACTTCCAACAGTTGTTCAACTTTGTTTCTGGGCTAATCTGTCAATACTTTATTCTCTCGCATTAAAAGCATTTATTTTAGGTTAAAATATATTTTTGATCTCCTACATTATAATTGCCATCTTTCTTTTTTATTTTGCTCCGTAAATATAACATTTAAGGTTTTTTCATCAGGAAAAAAGTATTACTATTTTTTAAAATTTATTAACCGAATTAAATTATAAATAAAAGGAAAAGACTAAAATAAAATTACTAATTGAAATAAATTAAAAGATAAATGATTGAATTGAACAGTTGAATGCCCAGAGGGGAGAGGCTCGTTAATAACCTCCTAAGTCCTAACAAGTAATGGTCCCCGTCACGTGGATATTATTGGGCCAATCATTGGCCATCGTACGGATTCTTGCGAGATGGATTCGGCTTCTGTAGCCCAAAAAAAAAAAAAAGTTTCGGATGTGGTTTTGCTTTGTCCTTGAAAAAAAAAGTTGTGGTTTGCCATGTGGCGATTGACTGGGGCTAATGACTGACATGGCAAGACGTGTGGTGGCTGACTCAACTGATGAATATGACTAAGGGTTGACTGGCAGCCATGTGGAAGGGTGACTGGGATGATGACTTGGACTAAGTGATGACATAGTGTTCATGTCGGTGTCACATGATGACTAGGACTCAAATAACAACATGGTGTCAATTGTGTCACCCTGACTGGGATGATGATTGGGACTAGTTGATGACATGATGTCCATGTGGCAAAGTGAAAGTAATGTGACTGGACTCAGTGATGACATGAACGTGCATGTGGCATGGTGACTGGTACTTTTTGCTGAGATGGTGTACCATGTGGCAGGATGACTGGGATGATGATATCCTTTACAATTACATGACATCCTGTGGCACAATGACTGGTCTAAGCAATGACGTGGCATCCCATTTGACACGATGACTTGGCTGATATCTGGACTAAGGGATGACATGGCGTTCCAGATGTCAGTGACTGGGACTCATCTGACATGGTCTGCTTGTGTCATGCTTACAGGATGTTGACTGGGATTTGTGGCTGATATGGCTTCCACATGGCTCGGTGACTGGGATGATATCTGGGACTAAATGATTACATGGCGTCCGTATGGGGCTGACTGGGTTAATGGACAATGAGTGGGACTAATTGATGACATGGCATCAATGTGACCGGGTGACATCGCTGAAAGGCTGATTTGGGTGGCTGATGGAGGTTATGATTTGATTGAGGGTTGACGACAAGACGTGGCGGCAGCTTCAGGAATGGGTTATCTCGAGGCATTTCTGATTTTGACGAACCAAGACGGCTTTAAATTGTTGGTAAAACCATTTTAAACTCAAGACATGTTCAAAATGGCTGAAACAATTGAGACATGTGTCAAATTGAGCTTAAACGATAATCGTGATAAATTTAAAATTAAGGTGGACTACACAGATCTAGTCTTATTTTATTTTTTTCAAAAAATTTATCTGCGAGTACTTTTTATTTTCTCAATCTCAAATTATACCCTCAAAACTTATTTTATATTAATCAGAACCCTCCTACAATTTGGCCAATTAAATGTTAAACTTAAAAGTTAAAATCGTTAAAATTTTCCGTTAGAAACTGAAATTAAGAAATTTATAATTTTATTTTAAAACTAATTACATAATTTTTATAACTCAATTTATATAATTAGACTATGTATTCAAAATAATTTATAGATTTTCATTAATAGTTTTAGCTTTAAGGGATTAACATAATCAAACAACAAAGAATTTGATTAGAATAAAACTACAAAAACCTAATTTAAAATTGAGAAAAAAACCTAATAAAAGCTTGCAGACCAATTTTCCCTTATTTTCTTTTCAAAAACTTTGGAAACAGTCACAGGACCAAATGATTTTCCATCTTTTAATTATTTTTCCAATTTCTTAAAACTGACGTTTAATTGTTTATATTTTGAAATTTGAAGTGAGCAGACACAACGTATTGCAAAACAAGAAAATGAAGGAGATTCTTATAAAAAAAAAAAAGAAAATGAAGGAGAAATAAAGAGTTGATTTATGTACAGAAGGAAATGGAATATTACAAGAATTTCCACGAAACCTAGCCAGAATGGGTCAATTCCAGTCCACAAGAACAAACTCATACAGCGCCCACTTTGCATCCACCACATTCAGTCTCCAATACAACCAATTTTGTCCCCACTGACACGGCATCCTTACCTGGACAATGCAAAATATATCAATTCTTGCTTTTGGGGTTTGATTTGTGACGCATTTACCATAACCTATGAACACACCTCAATCAATTCTTGTGTAATTTTGCCACCATTATTAACACGTGCAATCAATGATATTTAAGTTCCACGGGTTATCCGTTAGATCAAATCAAAACTAATGCTTGCTTTGCTACAACTACTTTTTCAGTGATCCGTTACCTGTTCAAACATGTTCATTCACACGCGATCTTGGTATCGAAACTGCTGAGGCAGATTGCGAAAGCCTGAAATGCCGAGATGGGGTACCGGTAATCCATTGTAAATAAATCCTTCCCAACTTTACCAAACTGCAGGATGATCTTCTCATGTTCTGGTCCAGCAACCCCATTTTCTGGGGAAGCCACCAGCTGAAAGTTTTTTACTGAAGCTACCGTCACGCGCCCATGAAAGTTTAAGCACCAACATTGGAGCTGTTCATGCCACCTTGGAGATTTGTTTTTCAGCACTAGCACGCCATCTTTTTTATCACCCAGGGGTCCAGATTCGGATTTTTCCATATGATTTGACTTTGATCGGAAGAATGGAAATGAAGGAAACATGTCAATGTTGCTCAGAGAAAAGTCAGTCTGTGTCGGCGCTATCCCTCCGGGTTCAATTGCAGAGGCAGGAATGGAGTCCATGACACAATTCATTCTCCGAGGCCCCCTGCTTGTTACATACATGTGGTGAGTATAGCGAACATGGGAATGAAATGCTGTCACTGAAGAATATGACAGGTCAAAATTTACCCCGTACACATGCACCATGTGATTACCTGGAGCCTAACACATTTAATTCATATGAAATGTGGGCCACTGGATAGTTACCAGTGGGGACCCGGGGTGAAACTTGCTTCAGATTCACCAGCCTAGTGGAGCGGCTTTTCGAAATTTTTGCGCCTGCATGAGGTGGCTGGCCATCATATATTGTGAACTTTGTTCCCAGAAAATTTGATCTAATCAAAGGAGAAGAAACAAACATGAGCTTTTGCTTCCTTACAAACAAATGACAGGCAACATATTAGAAGTCACAGCGCCTAGTTAAGAGCATACCGTAGCTTCCCAATATAGGTGTAGCTTCCATTGGACACATCATCAGCATCTAGAGAGATGATATAATCTGTGCAGGTCGGACGCCTGCACTTGCGTGCAGCCAAAAGAAACTTCCCATCATCAGCTAGAGCTGCAATGAGGAAAACAAAAGGTCAGAAGAACACATACATGTTTCCTGATTGAAAAGGAAAACCAGGGATAAGAAAAAGATGGGACATTATCCTGCAAATAAATAACATCTTTACATGGAAATCCGCTGGTACTTTTACCAGACAGAAAAAGAACAGCACCATATTTTGTGGAAAATTATCTATATATGTATCCAGGTCCAGAAGACTTTTACAGAAAACCAAATTAGAATTTACTCCATGCCAAAGAGGAGGTTCTGTGCTCACCACTACTTAAATTGAGATACAAATAATATGTTTGGGAGGACCGGTTGCGCCTTATAAAGCACTGAAGAAGATGATCTCTAGGACCGGGCTGCCAAAAGCAGTCAAAAATTGAACATGTTAAGTTAGGGCAATGCTAAAGGGTAGGTAGGAAAGCAATACATTGATGGATAATTTATCACGTTCAATCTCAAGTCATCAAGCTTCTGCGGAAATCTAAATCATCATACAAAGCAGGGGAAAAGAACAATTTGAGAATTAAATGTGCTTTTGTCTAGATTTCAGAAGTAGGTTTGAGCCAATCGAAATCACAAGCTCCCAGTAACAAGAATTGAAAAAATAAATAAATAAATAAAAACAAACATTTACAGGCAGTTATACTGGAATTAAGCTTTTCTTTCTCAAAAGATCTAAACATGACTAACCAAAAGAGAGAAAAATAAAAGAGCAAGAAAATAGACAGTAATATCTCACCAATAGAAGAAGACAAAGGAAGCACGTTACACTTTGTAAGGTAATAAAGAAAAAGATTGATTAGTTCAACCATACTTTTGACAGCCACATGCTATCCTCACGATAAGAGGTAACAAAAGCATCAATTTCTGGTGTTTTACAACTGGACACAGCACCTACCCAAAAATGAGCACATTATTGTTCACAACAAACAGTACATCACCAATCAAACCCTAGTTTCCTTCAACACAAGCATAGCCGCCGTGATTAAACAGAGGGATCAAAACTCAACAACGTACAATGTCCAAACTCAACGACGCTAACCAACAAAAACATCTTCCTCCCCCGGAAGGCCCGTGATTCCAGAAATTCAAGTCGGGAAAATTGTTGAAAACATGTCATAAAAATAAACCGAAGCAAGACTTAGTGAAGAACCATTGAAATTGCCGAACATGAAGCAAGTACAAATCCTTAGCTGACGGCATTGTGAACGAACCTGCTTGACGGAGATCGGGAACGTGATCTTGGCGGAAACTTCAGGTGGCTTGACGATTTCCTTGGTGATCTCCCTCCAACTCCGGCACACTCCAGCGCAGGCCACCACACTCTTTCGCGGCGGCCAAGAGCTCTCGGAGTCCTCAATTCGGAGTAAAACCTCCCTGAGAAGCTCCTGAGGCATGTGGACCCAGGAACTCTGCTTCAAGCCATCGGTCACAGGCTCCTCCATTGGGGAACCGTCCTGAACCACACGGCGCGACCTGGATCTCATATCGTGGATTAGGCTCCGAATCATAGGCATGGATGGATGTGTGTGTGTGTGTGAGGTTACAGCAAGGTATGAAGAAGAAGAAGAAGAAGAAGAAGGTGAAGGTGAAGGGTCTTTGAATTTAGGTGACAAAGCGAGAAAAACGAAGTGGGGGGTGATCAGTGCGTTGATTGAGGAAATTTCTTCTGCAAAATAATTTGTCTTGGAAAAAAAAAAAGGGTTCCTTTTTCAGTGGGTTTGGAATACAGAATGTGAATGAGAGAAAGAGAGGATTCCGATAAGGAAGAGGCTAGATACATGAAATCACAGATCTATAGAAAAGACAAGCAAGAAGCTCTTTCTTACCCACACACACATTATATATTCATTTTCCATAGCCCATTCATATTCCACACCCATATTATCAATAAATAAATATTATTTATAAAAAAAATAAAGGAGAAGGACAATTACGTTTTAGAATACTGAATAAATAGTAGTTAAATCCTCAGTAAAAAATTTTTATTAAATGAATTATAATTATTAATTTAAATAATTATAAATAAAAATTTAGGTTACAATTTAAGAATTATATTTGATAATTAAATATTTATTTTTAATTGAAATTTTTGAATTTCTCATTATTTGAATCAATATTTTTAACTAAATTTAAAAGAAAAAGAAAAAAATTAATTCTCATTAATTCATTATTATAGAACTTCACTATCATTTTTTTCAATACATAACCTTTATAAATAAATGTTATGTATGTCTGTATCAGTTGATAAGATATTAATTAAATTTTTTAATTTTGCTGCTATTAACAGGTACTAAGCATAAAAAAAAAGTAATATAAAATATGAATTTTTTTTATTTAAATATAGTAAAATAAGAAATTTTATTTTATTTTAAAACAACAACAATGACTTGACACTTTTTTTTAACATCCAATGAAGTCTTTAGAAATATCTTATAATAAGGATCCGTGTTATATAATAAGTACTTTTTTTTTATTTTAATTATAAGTTCTACTTAATGTTAATTTTAATAATTAAAAAACTATGGATTATTTAATACGTGTCGGGTATTTCCGTCGCCTTCAAGCTTTCTTTTTTACCCTCTTGTGACGTTTGATTTTCAGGTTGTTGTATATCAAATTGGTCTTTTTAATAATTTGATTAATTTGCATTCGTCAAATACACCGATTAGATCAATAGGTACGAGGAGGAGATGGAATTATGCAAGTGAAATCAAAGGGAATAAAATGTTAATTTTTTGTCAGTATCTTTTCATTGCTTACTGTATTTATTTGATTATGAAATATATATTAATATAAATAGAAACTATTTATCTGTAATTCTCCTCCGACTTGTAAACTGAGGTTTAATATTTTTTGTTTTTTTGTTTTTGAGTTAAAGCATAATTTTATCTTGTAAGTCTTTTTAGGATGCACAATTAGGACCCTAGTTCAGGCGAAGTAATATCACCTGGATATAAAAGTTACTCCTTCTATTAAAAAATATAAATTATTTTTAATCAAATCTCATCTCAATAAAGTAGTTACCTATTTTATAATTAATCCTATCTTTTTATATTTACTCTTATTAAATACCCTACAATAAATATAAAATCATTATTAATAGAAATAGTTTTAAAAAAAAGACGGTGATTATATCTTAAAAGGATAAAAATATTTTACATTTTTCGACGCAGGGATTACATTTTGTTCTAATTTTTCTTGTTAAATATTTAGAGTATATTATATTTGTAAGTAGTATAGTTTTGGAATATTCTTCACTTTTCTAATTTATTACTATGATTTTATAAAAGAAATTGTTTGTAAGGGGTAATTATCCTACAAATTAATAATCATGCGTTGCATCATCATCTCATTCCTTTTCAACAAGAGATTCTTTTAACCATTAAGAAATAATATGCATAAAATAAAATATTAGTTGTTTGAAAATGAATATATATAAATATTATTATATTGTTTTTTCATAAAATATATTATTTTATTATTATATTGTTTGGAAGAGAGAATTTAACTAGAACAAGTTAATCAATATTCACATAGTAGTGTGAGTAAGTCGGTAATTCAAGCTAAGTCCGACGGACTAGCCCAAATTAGCTCGAAAAATTTTAGGACTGAACTTAAAAAAGGGATTTTTTTTATGTTACGGGCCTATTCGGGCCCGAAAAAATTCGGGCCAAGCCCGATCCCGAATACCCGAATAAAAAATTATATTTTTAAACATATATAAAATATAATAAATATTAATTAATTCTTTAAATTTTAGATCATTTTATACTAAAATATCATATATTTGAGTTCTAGACATCATTTAAGTATTAAAAAAATATATTTTATATTTTTTATAAAATAAAATAATTAATTTCAAAGTAAAAAAATAATTAAAAATAATTTTAAAAATTAAATTCGAGTATTTAGGCCGCCCGAAGCCGAAGAAATTCACGCCGGGCTTAGCTATTCGGGCTTCTCAAGGATACGGGCCTATTGAGCTGAGTCCGAATAAGCTCGGCCTGCCCGAATTCTTGGCTCTAAGTGTGAGGATTATTTGAATCCTAAGTGCTGGCCTAATTTTAATAAGTTTATCAAAGCTATACTTTCCTACACTTTTTTATATTAAGAAAAAAATATTCACAAGGTATTTGTATCACATTTGTTACAAATAAAAATAAACATATTTTTAAATAAAATTTATACACCCGTCCCTGCATTCAATCAACATCATTAACGTATTTGTGCTGTGTTACATAATTACATTCTGGTGATATACATATTTGACTGCCGAATAGTGCAGTTCATTTCATTTAATAGTCAGATAAAGTAATTATATTTCATAGTGTGGATTGAGTTGTTTTCAAATACTTTTTAATCTATAAAAGTTTTAAAAAAATATATAATAATGATTATGTATAGACTATAGAGGAAAAAACGACCACCAATATCACATTTATCTCTGTGTATATAAAAAAAAAAAAAACACACATCCACAATTATTTCTTTTTTTTAATTGCTAACATGTTTTTTTATTGAAGTTAATAATGTTTGAAGTGCAATCAAGCACTAAATATGAATACTTTTTCTAACAAGAATCAAATCTTAATTTGTCACATTGTGATTTAAAAAAAACTAGCCCATTCTATTAGGCTTAATGCACACAATAATTTTTATTGAATTAAAAATGACATAAATATTTTTGGTGTTATTTAAATTTGATTGATATACGTTCTACTTTTATTCTTATGAAATGATATGAACAGTTAAACAGATAAATGTGAGTCAGATGAGTTCTAGAATAATTTATTCAAGGAAGCATCAAAATATAATTGATCAGGTTCCATGAATTGTGGATAAGAATTAGAATATTTATCAGGACACGAGGAGAAAAGGAGAATAATTAGTATGAGCAAAAGGTAAGAAATTGAAAAATTAACTATTAACTAATATAATTAACAAATTAACTAGTACTTTCTCTTATCTTATTCATAAGGTAAAAAGAATGTTGTTTTTCCTATTTATAAAGTAAGTAATAAAATTGACTTTTTAATTTTTTATCACAAGTTTTTTCATTTGGCCCTCATTAAATATTAGTAAAAGGAAGTCAATTATTAAAGCATGTATATTCTTTTTGATACAGTGTATATTTAATGCTTTATCAATTCAATATCATAAGGCATTTCAAGTTGAATTAACCCCCAACAATTTAGCTAATTAACTTTAAAATTATATGCTCTTTTCATATTTATTCTTGTGTTGGTGTGGAAGGGATTGAGCACCCTCATACACATTAGGCGTATTAGAGGAGTAAATGATCAATCAAAGTGATGTGGGTTCATAAGGTCTTTTATCTCAATTTCCTTAGATCATTATGACCATTTGCACAATGGACTTGGCTTTCGGGACAAATCGAATTCACTAAAGAAATGGGAAATTAGTATAAGATATGAGGAATGTTAGGGTTCCTTAGTGCTACAACTAGTCCCATGCCATGCTTAAGATCAAAGTTACAAATTCACTCTGGGTGAGACTTTGTAAGGTCAGAAATGTACTTGATTGTCTAGGAGTCTGAGTGTTTGAGTGATCACTGAATGATTGTTTGTTATTTGTTTCTTCCTTTGTTATATAGGAGCGACTAATTGATCTATGTTTGAATTCAAATTCCTTTTAATGTCTTACTTTACAATTCATATAAACTTACTCTCATGCTAGAAAAGTGTCTACCATGGTAATTAGAAAAAAAAAAGCCTCTTTTAAATCATTACCACAGTAAAAAGGAATTAAACCATCTTTAGAAAATATTACCATGGTAGAAAAAGGATTTTACTTAAATATAAAATTAAACTTTAAACCAACTATTATAATAGAAAAGAGTTTATCATAAAAGAACAAATTGAACTTAATAAATAAAGGCTATTATGGCAAATAGAAGTTCACTCAATAAATAAAAAAGTAGGTCTTCCATTTTGAACAAACCCTAAAAGTTAAAGTGTTGAATTAGGATGGTTGGACCCACATAATGAGGTTACTAAGATTTAACGGAAGTTAGTTGAAGCTAATAGATGATTTTATACAATATGGTTGTAACAAAATATTAGAAATTGGATTTTTCGGTTGGTTAAGTTAGAAGTATGTGAAATTGAGTTGGATATTAATGTTATTAATTGGAATTGTAGGCTACTCGGGTTGTGCACTATTTGAGCTCGGAGACAAGCTTGAGCGAATAATTTATTGAGGGGAACCTTTGTGTTCTGTTTGGATTGAGAGAAAATATGAGAGGAAAGAAAACTTAAAAGTAAAATAGGAGATAAAATAGCTTTTTCTCTGTTTGAAAGAGAAAAGAAAAGTAGAGGGAAGGAAAAGTGGGAGAGAAAATGAAGTGTAAAACCCATTATATTTTCCTCTCAAGTTTCCTCTCCATACATGGAGAGATTTTGGAAATAAAAACATTCTTCAATGTCTGCCTTACTCTCTCACACATTCCCTCCTTAGACCTGGCTACCTTATTTTTTGTCTTCAACACAGACAATGCTCAACTCAGTGATAGACAATGCTTTATTCTTTTCAAAATATACCACCTACACAAACTCCTCTAGGTGAAAAAAAAAACTACACAAACTCTGTTATTAATTATAAGGACACCATTCATTGAATGGGAATAAGTTTAGACAGAACTTCCAACTTAAATGAAAAACTATTATTGTATTTGATTTTAAAAAATACGTAGTTTTTATTTTTAAATAGAAAAAAACACACTTTCTAAACTATTTGATATTAAAATTATATTAACATAAAAAATACATTTTTTATCAACTAATT